GCTGGTGTAGTGTAAACACTAGTGATGTCACTGAAGCGTCTGCTATTTACCGATAACTGGAACTAATGTCGGTATCGAGTAAAATTTTTCCATTTACTTGAAATGGATTTACTGATTTATTTGTTTATTTGTTTATTTATTTATTTATTTATAATATACTGTAACATATTAAACACACTGCAAGTATTTTCTTTCATTTATACGCTTGCTTCACACGAGACGATCGGTGGTGGGAGTGTTCCCTCGTCTCGGTGGTGTGGCTGTGTTCCGACTATTTATACAACATGTGGTTCAACAGCAACCACCGTATTCTAATTATGGTGTTTCATTAGGATTTGAGTGAAAAAGGTTACCAGTATGTACTTACTACATACATTTATTACACAAATATATATATATATATATATATATATATATATATATATATATATATACACACACACACACACACACACACCTAGACCCCGACTTACGACTACGTGGACTTACGACCGTCGGGACTTACGACCACCTCAGATATAGATAAAAAAAAAATTTTTTTAAATGACACACGCATTTTCTATACCGAAACGTTTCCAGTTAATGTAGTCTCCATGTATAATTAGAAAATTATCGGGGCCAAATGTGCATTCAGCTGACTACATTATAGGTTAAGTGCTCAGTCACACTGTATCCATTCCTTATTATTTATTACTTTCACTGTACTGTATCCATTCATCATTATTCATTACTTTTACTGTACTGTATTTCATTGTAGATTTTTTATTAAATTTTTTTTATTTTTTTATTTTTTTATTTTTATTTTTTTTATCTATGTCGGACTTACGACCATGTCGGACTTACGACCTGGATTCGGGTCCCTAACCCCGTCGTAAGTGGGGGTCTAGGTGTATATATATATATATATATATATATATATATATATTTATATATATATATATATATATATATATATATATATATATATATATATATATATATATATATATATATATATATATATATATATACAACAAAATATATGTACAAAAAAATAAATGTTAAATTAATTATTTATGGTGCATAAGAGTACCAGTCACTTCAGACACAAAGACGGGCTATAAATAGCCTTCTTTATCTCCCCTCCATCTCACCCTGAGCCAGAGGGAAGGGGTGGTGGTAAATAACATTTGTTTGCTTATTTTCCATTTACTTGAAATAGATTTACCGAATTATTTGTTTATTTATTTAAAAGTCATTTACTGAATATTCTATGTAAAAAATAAATTTTAAATTAATTATTTATAGGAGATACCGTAAATATATGGTATTACTGGCCACTTCAGACACAAAGACGGGATAAAAATAGCCCATCTCCCCCTCTTCTTACAGCTGCCAATGGGAAGCGTCTTGGTAATTAAATTTGATGTTTATTTTCATTGTTTGTCTAATTTATCATGTATCAAAGTAATATTACTAAAAATTGTGTAGGTAGTAGGCAGCTACCAAACAGGTAGATACTACCGCCTGGGAAGATATTGGAAGCATAATGTGTTGTCTAATGGTAGACCCTGCTGCCATATGGCATCACGAAAATTGTGACCAAGTCCCAGGTTCAGCGCTGACCTGACTTTCTGCCTCATTTACACACAATTGCAGTTTGAATTGTTCCTCTAACTTTGACAACACAACATACATACAGTATATTATTTCTCACTTTTGATCTTTTTTTTACTTTTTGTATTTATTTATGGTTAGTTACTTAAAATAAGGCCAATTCACTTCAAGTAATGGCATCAAATGTTACCAGCTGGTGTAGTGTAAACACTAGTGACGTCACTTAAGCGTCTGTATTTAACTGTCGGTAGTTTCAAGAATTAATGCAGTCATTTACTGAATATTCCTTGTAAAAAAATAAATTTTAAATTAATTATTTATAGGAGATAAGTATTATTATCAGTAAATATACCGATATGCATTACTGACCACCTCCACTGCTATAAATAGCCCAATCTCGCGGTCACTTTCCCTTTCTTGTCTCCTCACTGGCAAATGGGGGGGGCGTGGGGAGGGGTGTGTGATGATAGCTGTGTTTATTACAGGGGTATAATGTTCTTTTACGGTATGTTAGACAGGTTTATAATACATTTTTATTATTTTAATATACCGGTAATCTTAATTTGAATCCAGCTTGCCAAACGTAAGTTTCAGTATAAAATAATTAGTGGTAAGACCTTGTGAGTGGCTTACGATGTTTCCATCACCACTCTTGACACACTAAACCACAATATTTAAGAGGTAAGAATTTTATACTTGGTGGTTTAGACGACCCCCTAACTTTGGGCAGATTTTTTTAATGTTCAAATTCCGTCTTATAAGCCGAGATATACGGTATGCTCTTTCAATAAACCGTTAATTATTATTATTATTATTATTATTATTATTATTATTATTATTATTATTATTATTTTATTAATACAGTATTATTGTTATCATTATTATTTTATTTTGGTGTATTTTTTAATTAAAATTTTTATTTACTATGAATAATTACAGGTATTATTATAATTATTATTATTATTATAATTAGTATTACTATTACATTTTTGCCCCCCAGGCCCCGATGTGGGTCAGTGATCTATGCCTGGGTGGGCTAATACCTGTAAAAAAAAAAAAAATGCTCCACACAAAAACTTTCGGTTTTCAGAGCTTTCGGTTTTCGAAAGGTTGTCAACCTGTACTTTATGTTTACATCGTCCTGTGCATACCATACCATGCATTTGGCTACTTTGGGCTTGCTATGATGACGCAAGAGATCTGCCCTGGCAACTGTACCGACACTCACAGCTGGTGGTGCGTTGGTGCGTCGTTTCCATTGTTTATTGGTAGTTACTGGTAAATATTTTTCAACTTAACGAAACTATTACCCATTTAGAGGTCGACCCCCAATTTTTTGCCAAATAATTTGGTCTTAAAAACTCGAACTACACACAGGTATATACGGTAAATAAGGACATGGGGGGCCAGGGTTTTTTAAGGGAGAGAGGGGGGGGGGCAGCAAAGGTACACGGATTTCTAACATTCACGGGTATCTCTGTTACCTAACCCCCGCGTATGTTAAGGGCCGACTGTACTGTAAATTTCAAGTTTAAACGTGTTAGTATCAGCAGGCGTTCGTAAGTTGGGGACCTCCTGTACATATATGATAAATTGGGGTAAATAACAAAAAAAATTAGAGTGAAGCAAGTACTCACAGATGTCGGCTGTTTAAAACTGAAGACATTGTGACTTTACCAATAGGAAAACAATGTGGCCGCCCACCGGTTTCAAAACTAACCAGGTTAAAGAACTATTGGTTTTCAAGTAAAACCGGTTTCCTGGAAGCCAGATAAATGGTCTGGTACCTGTGCAGGTAACTCGCGTTATACGCAGGTTTGATTTAAGCGTTTTTGGAATAATGCGATTGTTCAATTAATACTAAAAGCTAATTTAAGCGCACCTATTTTTTAAATAATGCGCTCAAGACAGTTTAAATTTGCCGTGTGTATTCGCCTGGTCGCCTGGCAGTGGAGTAGCGTGTGATGCCTGGTGAGGTGCTTGTAAATTATTACTATAAAGTCACAGTCATATCAACAATTTCAATATTATTATTAATAATAATTATTATTATAATGTAATAATAAAGATTATTACTACTAATGATGAAGATAATGATGATAATGAAGTATTCTGTACAACAACTGTGATGACGTCCAGCAAGCTTCCCAAATATAGCTTTCTCAGTTCACACCAGCACTACTTTTTCTCTGTGGTTTCATTTACATTGTGTTTATCAGGTAACTTTTTAGTGTTAAACGCTGTTTTCCCGATTGAGGATGTATGGAAAACATCCATCTGCCTCCTCTGGGTCACCTAAAGCTAAAAAGGCACGAAAAACAATCACAATGGATGTGAAATTAAATGTGATCACCCGCCTTCAGAGAAGAGAGCGTGTGTCGGAGGTTGGCCGCGTGCTTGGTTTAAGTAAGAGCACTGTTCGTACCCCGTACGGTATATGATGGTTCCCCCAACCTGTACCATTTACAGGTATTCTTATGGGAAAATTATGTTTAATTTACATGTTTTTGAATTAAGCGGTGATTTTCACGAACGTAACCCCGCGTAAAACGAGAGGTGGGTGTATTGCTTTATGTCACAATATTTAGCTAATCCTTCATTATCCATTCTCCCTTTATTAATTATATCAGGCCCCTTATCCAAAAGCTCAACCTTCATATCACAGAAAGTTCCAATAAGGAAAATCTCATTACTGCAATATTCGAACAACATTTATATATAAATAACTTAATACCTACTTTCATAACAAATATTGGTATACAAATACTGTAAATAAAATTTACATCTGATTTTCTCTCTCCTTTATAAATTTTCTTCAGACACAAACATGTGAACTAATGTACATAATTGTATTGTACAGTAGCTAAAACAACTATCTGTGCAGGTGGGGGTCGATATGCTCCAAAATTTTATGTGTGACTAGTGACAGCCCTCTTATACCAAAATTTATCGTCCATGGTCTCATATTGTTTCCCACAAAGTATGCACAGATAGTTGTTTTAGATACTGTACATGTGAGTAAGACACACATAACATGGAATATGAGTTGGATCTCATAATACTGTACAGTATGCAGAAGACAGAAAGATTCAGCAGGTCGGTATTCAGACTCTCTGAAAGTTCTGATCGTAGACTCACAGAGCTTAAAGCAGTGGATTCACTTTTTCCTGAACAGAAGTACAGTACAGTATAGCTACTCAATCAAATATCTTTTTAAAATTACTAATTAAGCTTCCCTGTTTACATATCTATCCAATGAAGTGTCAAACAAATTAAATGTCTTATTTCTTGCATCTTCGTGTTTTGGCATTTAAGAATTTCATGATAAATTTTTTGGGTTAGATAAAACCCAACAGTTGCAGTAATGAATTAAGTCACATTGATGTACACCAAGACAATGAAATGTATTCAACTGGTATCTTTCTATTTTCTGAATAGCTATGTGTGAATTCTAAATTACTGTATCATTTCCCAATTGTGGGTTAGGGTTTTGTTCGAGAAATAAACACATTACATTTTAAATCCTTATAGGGAAAATACATTTGTATTTTTGTCTTCATTAACACTTTTTCTTGTCTACTTCTATACTCTATTCAAATTAATTTTTCATCAACTCATTAAATGATTTTCTTATCGTCATTTTTACAAATTCTAAATACTGTACCCAATAAGCAAACAGATAGCGGTATCAAAATCATGTTACCTGATATGATACAGGTACAGGGATTAAAACTTAAGGGTATATGAATGATTGAAGCTGAACTGTCACTTTTTGTGATCTCTTATTACAGTACAGTACAGTACAGTACAGTACAGTATTTCTTTTTATCCTTGAGTCTTTGATTTTGTAGTGTTTTAAGCACTAGTGAATTCTTTAGAAGAACTGGTGCTTTTGAGAAACAAAAGACCTGGTATTATTATTATTATTATTATTATAATTCATTAAACTGTACAACTTTTTGCTTCCAAATTATATTATCTCTTAAGCTAAAACATTCAATTTAACATAAAAGAAACAATTAACATCAACTGCAGCTTCTATGAGAAACTGTCAATATAATGAACTAAACATGTGGCAGGAACCAAACCTCAATTAGGGTATAGCATCATTGTTTGTGACTGGTTGAATGTTCTCTGTATTACTTTCAGTCACCAGCCCACTTTCCTCTTGGGGGGGAGATGCTTCCTCTTGATCAGTTGGTGAAGGTTCATTTTCTTGATCCAACTCTTCAAACTCTTCCCTAGCCTCTTCAGCTAATTCTACAGAGTCATACTTGCTAAACTGGTGAAGAGCTTTGTGCATGACACTGGAATGTGAATTGCAGTGGTAAGCAAAAACATGTAAAAAAAAAAAAAGTATACAGCTGCTCCCCGACTTACGACGGGGTTAGGGACCCAAATCCAGGTCGTAAGTCAAAAATGCTTAAATAATACTGTACATAGAAAATCTAAAATGGGTGTCTCTTTTTCTTCTCAGCACCACAAAACTCTCACTTTTAAGCTTGCCAGCCATTTTAACGTGAATTACAAACGAAAATTTTGTCTGTGTACTGACGTTGGGACTCGAAAATACGTAATTTGACAAAATTTTGGTACGACTGAGGCAGGTCGTAAGTGCGGGTGGTCGTAAGTCGAGTAGGTTGTAAGTCGGGGAGGAGCTGTATTAGTACAGTACTGAGTTTATTTCTTCATTTCTATAATGTACCAGTCATTGAATGCCAACAGCTTCTTTCCTATCATGGGAAGTGATAAACTTTTTGACACACACACACATGCATGCATCTGCACACACTCATATACAGTATGTATAATTTGCATTCTGCATTGCAACAAAAGCATGTGTACATGTATTATTTAATTTCAAATTCAATAATAAATACTACGTAAATAAATATACTGTGCTGTTTACTGTACATGAAAGTAATCACAAGCATGATGTTAAAAGGAGTGACTCTTTTATAACTATACAGTACCATGATCAATGAAACTGTTATATGCTAAATCACATTATTTTGATCCTACTTATCACCTTTTCAAAAGTAGATTTTACTTGAACCAACACATACTAACTTCTTTGTGTATCTCGGCCTAAAGTGCAGTTTCTAGCCACACATCAAGACAATCAAATGTGATTTTTTACAATAATATGTAAAGGGCATGATTTCCATCCTTCAGTCACCCAGTCTCTCTAAAAAGACCATTGCTTTTAATTTGTCATGAACAAACCACTTTTATCTTTTCATCTAAGCTTTAGTAATTACCCTATTACCAATGAACTCAAATATACGTTCTCTTTTAACATCGGCAAATTTACACGTATTGTAGTTTTGAATTAAACGTAATTATTCAAATACATTTACTTCACCTCTATAATTACACAAATTCAGGATTCCCTTCACTGTATCTTTCTTACTTCCACACCATATTTATTTGAAATTCACATCATACATTTCTCTCCTCCTAGGATGCTTGCTCTTCAAATAATCTTATCTCAGTTTCATTTGCCCTCTTATTAATATACGCACATTTTCCAAACCTAATTGCAGAGTTTTTGTCTGTGTGTCTGGTCTTCTATAGGACACACAATTTTCATATATGCAGATACAGTACAGTAGTTATGCTTTGTAGGCATACAAGTACACAGGTGTTCCGTAATACTGAATTAAACACAGAGTGCTCAAGACCTACTTGCAATGATAAAGACATTAGTCATTTAGATATTCTGTATGAAGTTTCAACCTGCATATAACTGGACCTTTTACCACTTACTTCAGTAGTATGCAATATAAAAAAATGTATGAAAAAATAAGATTAGATATGAAGGTAAGGAAACAATAAAATAAAAGAATATATGTAAGGGATGATAAAACTTCTGAAGTTGGAGATAAAGACAACAAATTTGCCATAATGTGCACTGAAGCTAGCCACCCATCATGTTAGTGTCTCTGGATTTACTGTAGGTTTTCCTTCTTGCCTCGGAAATGTCACCCTATAAAGTGTTTGAAACAACATAGAGGTTGTTAGCATAGCTTTTTAAAAATCAAACAAACTGTTATTTTAGCTCACCTGAGGATAATAATTGAGAAAAGGAGAATTCCAGCACCCATAATAAATGTGAACCCTCGGAATATATGTCTTGTTGCAGGATAGATGCTGTTGAATACTCCAGAAGCAACCAGTGTGCAAGCATTTTCCAATAAAGCTATGCAAGCAAACATTTTGCCTGTAGGGTTAAAAATAAAAGGTTGAAACAAAGAGTTTAAGATTGATCCTGAAATCTCATTTTATTACTAAGACTGGAGTATATGACTGCCTATAAAGCTATGGGGCTAAAAACCAGGAAATCTCAGTATCAGAAGAACTCGGCCCTTGGGAGAACCCAGCCCAAGGACCATGCAGCTTTTTGGTGAGCAAAATACATACAAAATAATTTTTACATGGTATAAGCTAAGTGTCATTACATAATTTTATGGTAGCTGCAATTGGCTTGAGAAATGCCTGCCGTGACAAGGATCACACTGAAGAGCTTCTTGGAGTGGTTGGACATCCTCAGGAAAAGCAATGCATAGGTAAGCAGACTTAGACATGGTAGAGACACTGGAGTAATCTACACTCAATATTCATACACAATCTAATAGAGTGATCTTCCTGCTTGACAGCCGATGAAGTTAAAACAATGTTTAGGTTTTAAAGAGTCACACCCCATGAGTGACCTGCAGACACCAAAGCTTATGACTGAGACATTGGGAGGAGCTTTAAATTTTTCAACCTAACACATTAGGTCACATGCTGTTTATGGCCAAATTCATGATCTTCCCATCCAAGAGAGATTGCATGGAAGGCAACCAGAAGTCAAACGCAATTTCAGTCATAAGAATAAACGGCAAACCTACTGACCTCTGTACTATACATTGGTCCCTCGGTTAACGAACGGTTCGATTAACGGAAATTCGGTTAACAAATTACCTCCCATAAGGATTTTCAATTCGGTTAATGAACAAAACTAAGATTAACGAAATCCTTACGAACATCACGCTTTGTTGTGAGCATCAGTTGATCAGCTGATGGGCTAGTCTGCCAATTCAGTAATCTGTTCTATGTTTACATTCGTTTCCAGTGGAGTAAATATCAAGAAAGTTGTGCTCTTTAATATTTTTGCATTTTTTATATTAAAATTATTAGTCATTTTAACATTTATTTAACATATTGATAATATATGCAGTACAGGGAACTAGTTTTTGTGTATCAGGCCTTGACTCAGCCAACAGGCATCAGTTGGGCTCTGTTGACAGTGGAGTGAACATCTATTTTGTTGGTGTCTTGAATATTTTGCATTTTTCATTGAAATTATTAGTCATTCTGAAATTTAGTTAACATAGTGATAATATATAGCACAGTGCAGTGTTGATTTAAATAAAATAATCTTGAATTACACCTAGTGAACTTAAATTTTATTGGTGAAATGACGGCATCAAGCATGGGTCCCCTTAAAGGTGATTTCTCCTCCATCCCCACTTCCTTTCTTCTCCTTTCTCCTCCACCCCACTTCTAATTCCCATCATCATCATCAACAACGAGGAACCTCTACATACACACCTCAAAGTAAGTGTACTTTACTGCATTCTTTTTTTTACTTTGTATGTACTTTTTAGGTGAGCTGGAACCAATTACCCCAATATCCCATTGAAACAATGGATTCAGTTAACGAATGACTCTGTGGAACGAATTGTGTTCGTTAACTGAGGACCACTATGCATACTTGTATCAATTCATTATACAGTGTTTCCCCACAAGTCAGCGGGTAAGTGGTGCCAACAGAGCGGAGCGGACTTGGGTACTATAAACTACAGTGGTCCCTCGGTTAACAAACACAATTCGTTCCACAGAGTCATTCGTTAACCGGAAATTTCGTTAACTGAATCCACTGTTTCAATGGGATATTGGGTAATTGGTTCCAGCTCACAGAAAAGTGCATACAAAAAAAAAAATACAGTAAGTACATGATATGAAATTAGAAGTGGGGATGGAGAAAGGAAAAAGAGAAAAGAAAGAGTGAGGGGATGGGGAGAAAACCTTCAGGGCACCCGTGATGAGCCATCATTCACCAATAAAACTTAAGTTACTGTGTAATTCAGATTATTTTCTTTAAATCCCTGCACTGGCTATATTATCAATATGTTAACTAAATTTCAGATTGACTAATTTCAAGGTAAATGCAAATATTCAGACACCAACAAATATGTTCACTCCACTGTCAACAAAAACACTGGCCTAGTGGCTGGTCAGCGACTTTGGGCAAAAACAGTTCTGTACTGTATATATTACAATAAAAACAAATTAAAAATGACTTTATAATATAAAAAATGCAAAAATGACAAAACTCTTGATATTTACTCACTGAAACGAATGAAACATAGAACGATTACTTGCAACTAGCCCATCAGCTGATCGCTCATGCTCACAACAAACTTGTTGTCGTGAGTTTTTAATCGAGTTTTGTTAATTCGAGTCTCATAGAAGTGTCGCTAACCGAAATTTCGTTATCGAACAGCTTTAACTGAGGACCGCAATTAGAAAGAAAACAATTCGTTCTGGGACCCCTCCAGATAAACACCTTAAACCCAAAACTAGTCTTTCAAAGCACCTTTTCTGCACATAACCTCTATGAAAGTTACCCTCAGCTAATTATGTGCACCTTAGTTATATAAGGTGAATAATAAAACAGAAATAAGCCTTTAAATAAGAAGAATAAACACTTTCTTGTCACTGTCCAGCCAGTCCATTATCTCCTTCTTGCATGCCAGGGTCATCGACTAAACTCTTCTGCCTGGCTGGGCAGGTGCTGGAGTCCCAAGCTCCTTATGAGGCTGGAATCTCCATGAGGCTGGAATATTTATGAGGCTGGGTCCAGATAGGACCGAGTTCACTAGCATTTGTAACCCCTTGATAAGTTACCACTAAGACTAGAACAATATTAGTTATGCCCTCCATCAAAGACCAGCAGCTTCAACTTATCAACTGAGAAGTACATAGATCAATGTATGTATGTATGTAACTGATCTCAAGCATCATGTTTGAACATCAGAACATACTTGTACTGTACATATTTTCAGAATGAAGTTTTGTTTATCATGAATTACTACCTTACATGTTTTAATATTTTTCCTATGCATTCATACAACACTGTGGAGAATAGACAATGGAACAGGAAACAGTGTAGGGAGCAGCAGTAGGTGTTGCATTGTGGGTTGCCGTACTATAATTTAAACTATATTTCCCAGCCCAAGTCAGTCAGTAAAGCTGTTTATAGTTTTATTTTGCATTCTATTACAACTGATGCTACATATGGGCAATACATTAGTACTGTACAGGGGTAAAAATTATATTAAAGAATAGCTAGTGATTCCTGAACTTAATTAAGTTTTATTTTCCCATTAGATAATATATTTACATTTAGCCAATTCATGATTATATTGGTCCCTGTAGTAACAATACCTCAAGTAAAAATTATGGCATTTTATACAGAATTGCCGTGATGTATCCAAAATATCTACAGTACAGTACATGTAATACTATACTGTAATGCCTAAATATTATAAGCTTCATGTTGATATCTTTAATAGCAAAAATAGTATACTGTAGTAGTCTAAAAAAATGCTAAATCAATAAAATTAACAAAGAAATATCACAATAGTAATTGGTGTAATTTCTCTGTTTTCAGGGCCAACCTACAGCAATACTGTACTGTATACGGTATATGATATGTGATGAAACCAAGTAAAAACAATATAAAGATGAAATATGAAGAAACAAAAATGTAAATTTAGATGAGATAGGATGCAATGTGGAGAGAATAGGGATGAAATACTGTATGATTAAAATTTAAAATACACAATGAAATTATGTAAAAATAAAATGCAGCAATCTTTCTATTAGCTGGAAACTTCGATCCCCAGAACTCTCCAATAGCCAGCATTTATTTTTTGAGCATTAAGAGAAATTCTCAAAGAATCTCTCCATTCTGGGCATGAGAATGAATTTCCGAGGATTACATCATGCGCATTTCTGGAAAATTCCGAGAAAATCTCTCTATTCTGGGTGTGGGAATAAATTTCCGAGAGATTGCATCAAGTTTCTGACGTGGAAATATGTGCCAGGTGTGTGGGTGGGTAGGCTCAGTGTGCTCATGAGGTATGATTGGCCACTACAATACTGTCCTGTGACTGCATGGGATGCCTATGATTGGCGGAAGTGTTTCACAGCCTATCTCCTCAAACTTTTCCATCATGACACTCTTAGTTCATGTCTGTTGCCATTGTACAAGCTTGTTCATTCGCTCACACAATCTGTGTAGTGCAGTACTGTACTATACATTACTGTACTAGCATATAATCAGCCAAAAATACTGTTAAAGCAGTGTTAATACAGTACGTAAAAAGTGATTACAGTTGCGTAGACTATAGTACAGGTACTCCTCGACTTACAACCAGCCAGACATACGACAGCCGCAGTCGTATAAATTTTTTTCAAATTGCGTATTTTCGATTCCCGACGTTAGTGATCGCGCTGTGTGATCACGCTGTGTGCTGACAAAATTTTCGTTTATAATTCCCTTTAAAATGGCTGGGAAGTGTAAAAGTGAGAGTTTCGTGGTGCTGAGAAGAAAAAGAGACACCCATTTTAGATTTTCTTAGTATTATTTTCGCATTTTCGACTTACGACCGTAGGTCGGTCCCTAACCCCGTCGCCGATGAGGACTGACTGTACATTCAATGAGTGAAAGTACCATATGTATAGTACTGTACATTGCAGAGTGGACAGTGTATGCTAGTGTGTAGAGGGTATATGTACAGTATACAGTACATGTACACTCCTTTCTCCATGGAGAGAGAGGAGAGTGACAGTTAACACCTGCTACAGGAAATGGTACAAGAAAAAGGTAGGCCATCCTGTATCATCTTATCACCATTTGGCTTGCCTGCATCACAAATTCAAAACAGCAGCATGTGCTAGTTAGTACAGTACACAGTAGAATATTTTGTTTGTTTACAATATATTGTAAATGTATAGTGGCATTTTCATAAATAAATACTACTCTGTGTCTGTCTGTGCGAGATTCGTAGCTTAGAATCTCGGCCCAGGCACCAGGAAACATTCAGGGGATGTGTGATAGTGTCTATCTGTTTAGACTCTTCGAAACCTTAACCCAGTACCCAGAAAATTTATGGACTGTGTTTTTTCGGGGATGAGAAAATTCATCTCCATACAAGAAATCTCTCAATCCCGGGAACTGCTCTGCCCAATTATTCCGGCTAATGGGGATGTCACTGTATGTGTCAACTACAGCAAAATAAGGATAATCTAAGACCGAAAATCATAAACAGAGATGAAATAGAGGAAAAATTAGATGGAATATAGAAGAAATATTATGGGAAAGTATGAAATATAATGAAATACATTATGCAATATTCTACCTCTGACATTAGCTGTTAACCAATTTTGACCAAAATTTACATATGGTCAATTAGATTCAAGCTGAATCAACTGTGTACTGTATTATCATCATCATCATCACTTAGAAGTGTGGATTCCAGCTGTATTTTGACCTTGACAGTTCAGTACAGATTGAACCTCCCTAATCCGGTACTCTATTGTCCAGCACCTCCCGTTGTCTGGCAAAATTTTAGTTTGCCCATACCCGCTAGTATCCATGGTCGCATACTTTGTTTATATCTGGTCCTCGTGGAGTTTGGTGCGTTCCTAGGTATTTCAAGTGTTTCTGTAATATTTCACTTGTTATTTTCCGTTAATATGCCTCCTAAGCATATTTATTTTATTATTTCATTTACTGTACAGATATATTTTTCTTCTTTACAGGTGAACATCACCAATTTATGTACAGGTACAGGTATTGTAACTAATTTGTCATTTTAAGTGCAGAATGAGAATTATTGTTATCTATTTTCGTTTATTACAATTACACTGTACAGTAGAACGTAGATATAACACAAGATATGTTCCAAGGGAGGTTGCTTTAAACAGAATTCGCACTAAATCGAAGTGTTGTTTAAATGGAATAATTTAGTTTGGTACTTGAGAGAAACACTAAATCTGAAAAAGACTGAGAGTCTACCCAGATGCACCTCAGCCCATCTCCTAGAATAAACAAAACATTGTATTTTGTAGTACAGCATAGTCTGGATTTCTGCGTCCAATTGAACCCGTGGAGGCCACGTAAAAAAGCAGCGTAAATGAAATAACAGAACATATGGGATTAATTGAAATAAAGACTGGTCCGACCCCCAAACTCCACTTTTTGCCGACACAATATGTACCTTGCAGTAAATAACATCTTAATTTTATGATGGTATGCACACATAATTAATAATTAAGAGAAATATCAATAATATTAGGTTTTTAACACTTATGTTAGTAGAAAAGCTGGTTGCACACTTGGATGGCGGCTGGTTACGGAGCAGAGGTTAGATTAGTTGCCCTCCGGTGAATCACTTTCACTACTTGAGAGGTTTGCAGGGCCTCCCAGACAAACCTCTCAAAGTCCATATCCTCACTGTCAATATCACTATCACTGACTTGGGCTGGCTGTGATTGTGGTGGGTTATGGCGAGAAGTCCTCAATACTACGTTGACGACTAGCATTGATGTGCGAGATAGATCTGGATATCTGGCTCCATAACTTTAGTCAGATGGTTATTAGGCGCTTCACACCGATGCTTGTCTGGGTCGTTGTTAGGATGAGCTTAATTTTCTCCTCCAACTCGATGATTTCCTTCACACAATCATGGCTTGGTCCAGGTAATTCAATGTTTTTCTCTGGTGGTGGGGTCCGCGGAAGCCAATGTGAGTTGTGAGGGAATAAGCGGGCACAAGAGAGAACTGTATACGCGGAGAACTGAGAACAATGAGACAGGCCCTGCTAGGTCAGCGACTTCTACCCTCTGGTGGCAGGGCCGCGTCATATTACATTAGACCAATCACAGCTAGCTGCAGAGGGAATGCGTGGGTGGTAAGGATGCGTAGCCCAATCACAGTCAGATACGTTATATGACGTCACCGATAACGCAACAGCGACATACTGTGCACCCCTTCCCCCCGCTTGTGGTCCAGCATGGGCCGCTTGAAACCAAAATGGTGCTGTCCGTCTGGACCTCCAGCCACTCTCTGCGTAAATGACCAAACTTACCGCGTAATTAAAGCATTTCAATTCTGGCAAGGCACCGCGTAAATGACCAAATGCGTTAATCAAATCCGTGTAAATCCAGATTATACTGTATTATGTTAAAACAAACAGTCATAAATCAACACAGCTAAAATTAAGGGGCCGAATTGGTCAGTTTACCGGCTGGGAAGATGAGGGGGAGGGAGGGAGGTGAGGTGATATGTTTGACAGTTGATGCCAAGGTCTAGTGCTTATTTATTTATCTGTCCTTAAGAGTGATTAAGTTTTTCTCTTATAAAATGTCACTGAACTGACATGGGAGAATATAATTAACATTGCTGGAATTTTTTTAAGATTGTGATTAATTTGAATATAAACATGCTGTAGCTCGCATTAGACATACAAAGAGCAAAAATGTTTATCTCCTGTGCAAAATATACAGTATGATGTTTATATTCATATTATTCGCTGTCTTGCAAGGATTCTAGCAATGCAATTATATTCTCCTAACTTTAGTCTGAGATATTATATAAGATAAAAACTTAAAGCCTACTGTATAACCACCAAACCCTGGCTGGGAGGGGGGATGGGAGGAAGGGGAGGTGATAGTGACATGTTTGACAGTTGGCGATGAAGGTCTAGTGAAGTATTTATTCATGTCCTTTAGCTTGAGTTTATGTTTTTTGCTTATAAAATGTCACAGAAGTGACCGGGGAAAAGATAATTTACATTGCTGGAATTCTTTTAAGATAGTGATTAATTTGAATGTAAACATGCTATAGTTTGCAGTAAACAAAAATTTTAGTAATTATTTAGTACATTATTTTGAGTACACGTACAGTACAGCTTTGCCCTTAGGACAGTGTAGCATGCCCAGAGAAACATTGGTAAATTTTAATTATGATGCGCCAGATTGACGCATCAATAATACTATGTATTTTACAAAGACCACCTGTGGTTCGGAAAATTCTATAGTCCGGCACAGGTCAGGTCCAAAAGTGCCGGATTAGGGAGGTTCAACCTGTACTAACATTTTGTCAAGGCTGACTGACGCTATAATTTTCATAAGGATTAGTTTGTGATTGTAGATGCTACAATGTGGTAACTTCTGCTGGCCTATGACCTGAACCTTAGATTGTCACTGGGTATGATTGTCATTAGTATGGTGATCACTGGCAAAAGGTGACCACTCTCAGCTTTGAATATTTTTGTAAAGATAGGATATAATAATTGTTGAAATTTTAAGTGTATTAATTACCACTGATCTTGGACTCTGCTGGAGTAACAGTCAAGAGGAAGGTAGTTGCTGGAGGAAAATGTAATCCCTTTTGTCCTTAAATTTTGTATCAATCAGTTAATTTCTAGAAATGATTCCTGGAAAGGTGTGACTTATAGTGATGACCACTGGCCTTAGTCTTTGTCTGGTGGGTGTTGACCAAAACTGTGCAGTCCTGTAGACCTATGTCAATTGGCCAAGTAACTTTTATAAAAATTGGATGAAAATTATGGAAGTCTTAGTGACCAAGAATGTGACCTTTCAGTAACTTTTGATCTTAAAATCCTAACTCATAATGGCCCAAATATGGTACACAACATGCCATCACATGATATAGGAGTCATGTTTAAAAATGCATGTTGATATATTGAACAGAAAGAAAGATATAGTCTGGATAGTCAAAGTCCTTAAAAATTCAAACAATTTGGCCTAGCCTTGAATCTCAAAACACCCTCACAAGATAATGCCTGTATACATAAAACAAAAATGAAGAGAGTGCAGAACAGCAACAGTTTGTCTCCACTAAATAAGTAAGACATAATTAAAACATATGAAAATGGTGCCCAATTTATAAATCCAGGTTTAAATGTTGTCTCACCTTGCTCATTAGGTTCCACCAACTTAGACATAGCAGATCTGAGTATTGGAAGAGGCCAGGTACTTAACATAGACACTGCAGCACCTGTAAAAATATGTCGATAGTCGTAAACTTTTACATTGCACGGGTGATCATTTCTCTTTACCTTCTGAAAATGTGCATTACAGGATTGACCTGGAAAATGGTAGAGCAGTAGGCCTGACACAATAAGTATGTGCTGATAGAGCAAGCACATGCTTTACCTACTGTATTTTATGACATACAAGATGCACTCTTTTGTCTTAAAAATGGCAAAAAAAAATCTGCCTGCATCCTATATTTAAATTTGCAGTCTCCCGGAAGTGAATCCCAATTTTTTTTTTTTTTTAACAGAGATTAGCCCACTCGGGCACAGGTCACTGACCCACATCAGGGCCTGGAGGGCGAAAATGTAATACTAATAATAATACAGTATACAGTAGTCTCGATTTATGCTGATTTGGTTTACGTGTTTGGTCATTCTGCGGCACCTTGCCAGACCAACAATTTTTATTTACACGGTTCATTCCATCATTTACGCGGTAAGGCGCGGCAGGGTGCACACAAGGTCGTCAGTCAACAAAACATTACCGAGTTCTTCACCCGCCACCCACCACAGCCGGTCCAAGTCAGTGATAGTGATAGTGAGGATATGGACTTTGAGGGTTTGACAAAGAGGCCCTGCAAGCTCTGTGGTGGATAGTGATACAATTGATACAGTGATACAAGTGAGGCCAATAATCTGCCCTCTACTCCGGAACCAACCCCAACCCCTGCTGCCCAGCCATCTTTTCTACTAATGTAAGTGTTAAAAAGCATTTATTGATATTTCTTAAATATTAATTGTGCATACCATCATAAAATTAAGATGTTATTTTTACTACAACGCATGTATGTGTCGGGAAAAGTGTAGTTTGGGTTAGCCCAGTCTCTATTTCAAAAATCCCTTATGTTCTGTTATTTCGTTATGCTTCGCGTTTTACGCTGACCTCCACGGGTTCAATTGACCGAGTAAATGAAGACTATACTGTAATAATAATAATAATAATAATAATAATAATAACAGTAAATAAAAATTTTAAAATAAAATAATAAAATAATAATGATAATAATAATAATAATAATAAAGAACCATAAAGAAATACAAAAATTAAAAATAGATCAAAAGTGAGAAATAATATATGTACTGTATGTTGTGTTGTCAATAGTAAGAAAAACAATTGAGACCCTGCAATTGTGTGTAAATGAGGCAGATTGCAATATAAATTTTATTCCATTATAAAGCATTCATGTTTAACTAAAAACAGTTATTGAAGAAAAGTTATGAAAAAATTGTTTCGCTAGGAAATACAGTAGTGGTGTACTGTAAATTGTGCGTTCTGATGAGAGCACCCAGGCTGAGTACAGATTATTAATTTTTTCCCTCTGAGCACAAAAGATAATTGTACATACTGTATCGAGTCATAACACGCTTACTATTGTTGCATTAGCATTGTAAATACATTATCTACAAATACAGTGGGGTATGCTATAACGAACGGATTCTACTACGAATATTCCTATAACGAACGGTTTTACCTATAAAATTGAGAATGCTATAACGAACTAACTCCTACAACTTAACGCGGATGAATACGGGACTATTTCGTCTGGTTTATGAATATTGCTGTATCACCTGCTCACAGCAAGCGGCCAGGCGCCATATTGGTTCATTGTGTAGTCAGTGCACCACTGAACTTGTTGAAATTTTGTCTTTTGATGTGGAAATTTATGTTATTTTTATAACTATTTTGTTATACAAGGTACAATTGTAACAATGAATCATCAAAAGCTGTGAGAAAGCTAATAACCCTTGAAACTAAGAAAGAAATTATAAATAAACAGACAAAGTGCCTGTGAGACAGTCACCAGAGGGCTAAAGGATGACTCCTCTCCTTCCACCTCTTCTCCATAATGCCTCTCCCTCCCCTCTGCCTCCTGTCCTGCATGCTGAACAACACTAAGGTAAGATAAAGTGTACCGTATTTTTTACACCTACAGAAATTTTTCAGTGTTAAGCAGTTGTATTTGGGGCCTGAACGGATTAATCCTATAACGAACGAATGCTATAACGAACGAGGTTCTAGAACCAATTAGATTCGTTATAGCATACCCCACTGTAGTTTTATATAGGTAATCACAATAAAATTATTAAATCTGTATGTAAATGCGAGTACAGTATTAAAAAAATTGTAAATGCATGGCTGCCACTCAAGCTCCCAAATGCGAATATTCTTCACTCAAAGTTTCTATATTTTTTACATAAATTATACATAATGAGTTTATAAATGTTTATTTTTTCGAAAAACATATGAAATAATAATTAAAGTTATTGGTTAAATGTACGCATAAAAATATAGCATAATTTTTACAAAATACAGTAAATGAATTTCTGTATTTACATGTTAAATGTTGGAGCACTTGGTGATGTTCCTCCCCCTGCTTACCCTTTTCCTCCTCCTCCGGTTCCCCACAGTGCCATGCTTAGCCTGGACAAGGTGACTAAATCTATTTAGGGAGTAACGGTAGTGCGTACAGACATGAAGCAAGCAACACATTTTTTACTTTTCCTTTTAGCCACAACGACATGCCAGGCAGTTCCTTTTGCACTAGGACTTGTTGAAGGGCCAGACAAACTTTCACTTGCACAAGAAGGCCAGAGACACTGGGAAAGGCCTCAGGAGGCATCACACCACATTGTGCAATATCCTTGGACTTCTTACGTTTTCCCACACCTCCACCTTCGTCAGCAACACCAGGCATGGTTCAAAATGATCACAGCACTGCTATCAATAAATGAAATCACTGTCATGAATGACAAATCAGTACAAGTTACAAGAAAATTGTTGGAAACGTAAGTCAAGGTTACGTCCTGTGTCATTGAACTACAAAAGGAGACTGGTGTGGTCACTCAGGTAAACCTTGGAGGCAGTCTACGTAGGTGCCCGATCACACCGACGTTGCTAAATGTGAGTCTTATGTATCTAGTGTCTACATGCAAACAAAATTATTATTTTTTTAATTTTTATGCTCATATGCAAATTTGCACATGAAAACCCAAAGTGATAATTTAGTTCATACACAAATTTGCGTATGGAAACCCCAAGAGTGTTAATAAACATATCAAGGACTCTACAGTAAAACTAAAAAAAATTGAAGTACAGTATATTAATTAATATTTATGGTAATATTTGGGGACTGAATCCTAGTTTCATTTTCACTACAGGCACAACTAATTCACAATTTATGCTGTTTTTAATCCATGGGGTCTACAGGAATGCATCTGGCTCTGAGTAAAGAAATGTGTTAACAGTCTGGTTACAGTAGTGGCTTGACCCAGGTGTGACTACATGTGGTTAGCAGGGATATGATTGGGTCTTGAAAAAAATACATTATATATGTTTTTTGGAGGGGGATCTTGGGGGTCTGGGGAAACATCTACCCAGGAAATTTTTACCATATTTAACTTAATTTCACATCTCTCATTTCGTGAAAGCCTAATAGTTAAAACACACAATACACAAAATCAAACATGTATGTTTATTGGAACAATATTTTTCATGCATAGTCTTAATAATTCCTTTACAAATTTTAGTTGTTACTAAATTTGAATTTGTTTAATATTTTTAACTGTGTACCATTACTGAGAGAAGATAAACTAAATGATACGATTTTTTTTGCACTGTATTGTGTGAGAATTCAAAATTTAATACTTACCAAATGGATTTATCTCTAATGTACCAGTAACGGGTTTCAATAGTATGGGTACTACTAAAATAAGAAAAACATGTTCCATGATATACCTGTATTCAAATTTAATATTTAGTTTTTTTCCCATGTAATATTCACTCATTTTATTTTGTTTTATTCTTAGTTTTAATTGCATCAGCTAGTTTTTTCAGGGAGAGTAAATGCTTCTGTTATTGTTTAGGAAGGCCTCTCTGCTTTTTCTTGATTTTATCAATTTCCTTACATTGTTTTCTTTGACTCTAACTGTTTTTAATAAAAAATTCTTCTTATTTTCTTCCTGCTGCAACACCTGCTTTAACATACTTCTATACCTACAGCTGGAGAGTTTTATGTTCCTACACATCATAGAGGGGAGGGACACACACACATCCTACAGCCCTGACCTCCTGGGGGACACACACATCCTACAGCCCTGACCTCCGTGAGGACACACACATCCCCTACAGCCCTGACCTCCTGGGGGACACACACCCTACAGCCCTGACCCACAGCCCTGACCCTGGGGACACACACATGCCCTACAGCCCTGACCTACAGCCCTGACTGGGGGACACACACACGCCCTACAGCCCTGACCCCTGGGGACACACATGCCATACATCCCTGACCTGCCCTGGGACCGGGACACACATATCCCTACAGCCCTGACCTCCTGGGGGACACACATCCCTACAGCCCTGACCTACAGCCCTGACCCCCTGGGGACACACACATCCCTACAGCCCTGACCTCCTGGGGACACACACATCCTACAGCCTGACCTCCTGGGGCACATCCCACGCCCCACCTGGGGACACACACATCCCTACAGCCCTGACTCCTGCACACACCCAGCCCTGACCTCCTGGGAAACACACACACACACAGCCCTGACCCCCTGGGGGGAACACACACATGCCTACAGCCCTGACCTCCTGGCACACACACATGCCCTACAGCCCTGACTCTGGGGGACACACACACACACACACACACAGCCCCACCCTGTCCTGAGGGACACACACGCCTACAGCCCTGACCTCCTGGGGACACACATACCCTACAGCCTGACCTCCTGGGGGACACACACACATGCCCTACAGCCCTGACCCCTGGGGACACACACACACACATGCCTACAGCCCTGACCTCCTGGGGACACACACACATCCTACAGCCCTGACCTCCTGGGGACACACACATCCTACAGCCCTGACCTCCTGGGACACACACATCCCACAGCCCTGACCTCCTGGGGACACACACACACACATCCTACAGCCCTGACCTCCTGGGGACACACTTCCAGCCCCGACCTCCCACACACACATCCTACAGCCCTGACCTCCTGGGGACACACACACACATTCCCACAGCCCTGACTC